GCTAGGAAGCTTCTGGAAGCTGGTTACTATGAAGCTTGTCTTAGGGCATACCAGTCAGAAGTAGGGAATAGTTTTATTCCATAGCTCTTTTTGCTTGCATGAGACAAAAGGCTATTAATTAACATTAAAACTCAGTTTCCCAGCTGGGCACTGTAATAGCCTTTAATCCCCACACTTGGGGAGGCAGAGGTGAGCGGATCTCTGTGAGTTCGAGACAGCCGAGGTCTACAAAGTGAGTTCCAGGACAGGGCTGTTACACAGAGAAACTCTGTCTCAAAACAAAAACCTCAGTTTTCCAGTCTGAGTGACTTTTGGACCTTGACGGCTGGGGAGAACCAGTGAACACTCAGGGTTCCCAGCATGCACTATGAATTCTGTATGGGGCAAACTCATGCAGAAGGTCAATTAGAGGCAGACTGTGAGGACGCTGGCAGAAACTGAAGATTCAAATTAAAAGTTATCTGGTCCGAATTTCTAAGAAAAGCAAAAAGGCTTTAAATTTCAGAGTAATTTTGTATCTTAACTGCTTTCATTCATATTCCCTCATTACTAACATTCCCCCACCAAAGTGGTACATTTGTTAGAACTGATGAGCCTATGTTGACATCCTTATCACCCAAAGTCTTTTTGTTTGTCTTTCAAGACAGTGTTTCTTGTGTAGCCCTGGCTGTCCTGGCATTCACTCTGTAGATGAGGCTGGCCTCAAACCCAGGGAGCCACCTGCCTCTGCCTCCCCGGTGCTGGGATTAAAGGCGTGCACCACCACCAACCAGCCATCCAGAGTCTTGGAGTTTATAGTAGGGCTCATTCTTGGGTCTGTCTGTTTGAAATTGGGGCAACTATGTAACGACTTGTACCCACTACTGTTGCAATACAGGAAGTAGTTTCACTGCCTTAAAACAACCTTTATGCTCTCTCCCATAATCCTTGGCAGACACTGATCTGTGTTTTCGTTGTTTTCATGTTATAAAGTGGGACTGTCACTATTAGCCCTTTCAAAGCTTCTGCTTTTTGTTTTGTTTTTCAAGACAGGGTTTCTCAGTGTAGCCTTGGCTGCGTTATACTCACTTTGAAGACCAGGCCGACTTTGAACTCACAGAGATCCGCCTGCCTCTCCCATCTGTCAAAGCTGCTTCTTTGACTTACTTATAATATCTTACAGTGTGCCATGTCTTCATGGTAGATGATGTGAGCATCTTTTCTTATGCTTCTTTTATATCTCTGTTGAGGCCATTGTGCTCGCTCTTTCTCTTTCCTTCTTCCTTCCTTTCTTTCTTTCTTTCTTTCTTTCTTTCTTTCTTTCTTTCTTTCTTTCCTTTCTTCTTTGTAACTACACATTTTCTATTGATTGACCAACGTAAAGATTATATTCTCATAGGCCAAAGAGTTTGCTAAACCCTTTATGTTATATCTACCTTTTGTCTAGACTTCTCAGTGATGCTGTACTATTCTCTAGTTAATCAAATTAACTCTTGTTTCTCAATCACAGCTTGCTAAGTGTTTTAGCTTGTGGTCTGTCCATTTCACAGAGACAGAGCTAGTGACAAGTTGATCTCTGTGATAGTTCTAGTTCATGGAAATTTGAGGTTTCTTAGTACTTAACACATTTATTGTCCATAAGAAAGAAAAAGACAAAGATGAATGGCTGTTTTCTTGATAGAAGAGTACCCTTCTTTTTTTTTCCCACTCTTTTGGACTTATAAAATTGTGTAGCCCATCCTGGAACTTGCTGGATAAATCAGACTAATCTCTCTGTCTCCAGAGTTTTGAGATTATGGATGTGTGCTACAATGCCTGACCATTTTTGTTGTTGTTCTTTAAATAGGGCTGGGGACTGAAACTGACTAGCACAATCCTGGTGTCATGGCCTGCTATGGTTGACATTATTTTATAAAATAATGTTTGATACTATTTTCTAACGTTGAAACAGTGTTATAAAAAATTAGAACAATAAGAATATTACAAAGTGAATAAATTGTCAGCAATCCTACCACTCAGTCATTACTAATAAATATAGTAAGATGTTAAAGGGATCATGGTGGGTTTCTGTACTCTTATTTTCACTTAACCTTATATTGTTAGCATTTGTGTCATTAATGAGTGATTCAAGAAAACATTCAAAGAAAATAGCTGCAGTAACTTGAATGGATTTACCATAACAGTTATGTCTATGTACACACACTCCCAGTCTTTATGAATAATGCATTCAATTTCCTTACTCCCCTACCTTCCAGGGTATTTTTAAACACTGGCTAGTCCATTTACTACATCAAACTTCACAGGTTTTATGAGAAAATGGTGGGAACCTCCCAAAATATTCTCAGGAGGTCTTACCAATTTATGACCCTCCCACTGGTAGGAAAATGCCTCTCATGCACACTTGCCAGCTTTATACCCAATTCTGTTTTGGCATTACTTGGTATTCTTGTCCACAAGAAACTAAGGGGGACCATTTGAAGTTTCTTGTGTCATTGTTTAGCTTCTGAATATTAAGGAAGTGAATGCTAGTCTGTGAGAAGTATTAAAGTCTTAGCTTCTCTTTAGCACCGTCAGCCTGTTTGTTACCTCAGCTTGTACGGGACCTGTGACTCAGCAGTAGAGCACTTACTTATGCCTGAGGCCCTGAGTTTGATCCTCAGTACCACCTAAAAAGAAAAAAAAAATCAATAAAATATTTTGCTTTTATTTTCTTTACTGTGGATGTGTTTGCCTCTTCTTACCTGGGTGAAATTCCATATGTAGGCTAGACATCCTTTTGCATTCCTTCAGAAACCCCAGGCTTTCTCTGCTCCTGCTTTATTAGTTTCCCATTTCTCACTGTACCTTTCTCACAGGCCTAAGTAACAAGGCGGACCCAGGAGTATCTTCTACCCCTCATTTCTATCATGTTCTGGTTCTCTCTTCTTATTCACAGCCAAGCAGAAAGGAGTGTTTTCCTGCTAACGGGAAGAGTTGTTTATATTGTTGCTTCTCGACCCAGGACAACCCTTGGTTCCTTTAGATACAATTTTCAAAAAAGTTTAAACCTGGCTGCTCAAATAGAACGTGAAGCCATGTCAAAAACTTACTCAGCTACTCATTAGTCAATGGAGCCAATAACATGTTAAATCCAGTTCTGGGGAGAATTGGAGAAACAGGCAAACCTAAAGAGCGGAGTGTGGATTTTCTTTTTTTCTATAGACAAAAATCATTTTCCTAGCTACTTTTTACGGCTTAACATCCTACAAAGTTGTAAACTTTGGCCATTGGTGAGTTATGCAGAGAATATGCCCTGGAGAACCCAATAATCCCTGAGAGTCCTCTGGGTAGCACCCAGCATGCTACTGAAATAGTATCTAGTCATTTATTTGGACTAGACAGTTTCTCCTAACAGTCCCCACTCCAGCTGTGACATGTTTTTATAAAGCCAGTGGCCTCCTGCCCTCATTTAAATTGGCCTCCTGGCAAGGCCGGAAAAGGTGAGCATTCCTGAAAGGCTTCTGAGAGTTTTGGCATTCTGCATCCATCCAATTTGCTCTGCTCTTGGCTCCTCTGCTAACTTCACTTCCTCTAATCAGCTTCTAAATAGCAGGATGCCCAGACTCTCACCTGTTAAGCTCCAATTCCTCCATCATCTATCTCCCTGGAGTATTCTACTGGCCCATGTGTTTCCATTCTGACCTTCTGTAATTGATTCTCCACCCAAGCAGTCAGTGTGCCCCTTGGGTTTACATTTAATGTTCCAATGTTCTCTCCTTGTTACTCGTCCCAAGACCATGTGATCTCACATTTCCTGGATATCTCCCTGCCCCGGCACTAGTCAAACTGGTCTTTCTGTACTTTGAGTAAAACAAATTATTCCCGGGCCTTTGATCTACCTGATACCACCCCCACCACCAGTGGAGTGGTAGGGGGAGGGCAGCTTCCACTGTCAACTGTCAGCCTCTGTGTCATTCAGAGCTCTGTAAATGTCACCTCAGAGATGACCCTGCCCACCTAGCTAAAGTAGCTTACACCCCCAGTTTCTCTTTCTAGAATTCAAGTTTCCTGAAGGTAGGAACGTGGGCCAAAGTGTATGCTCTCTAAATATTCGCTTGCCGACTCAAAGCACGGTGCCTCCCAGTTGGGCTCACTTCCCGTGGTTTTCTAGAAAACCTACATAGGAATGCAAACCACTGACTGGTCTTTGAAGGCCAATGAAGCACTGCCCTCTTTCTTCTGTGGTTACCCTGAAGTGCCATCACTTCCTCTTCTCCGTATTCTTTCTCTGCTGTTCCCAAAGGCACACCAGACCTGGGGAAGGTAGGAGGAACTTAGCCTTAGAGTCTTATTTTAGTGGAGTTCTAGCATTTCTGATCTTAATATAGGACTAAGGTTACAAGTTATATTTTGATTAAACTATTGATATATCCAGGGATTCTAGAGTCTGGAGATTCATTCAAGATTTTTAGTCCTGGTTTTATCTCTCGTTTCTGTTTGTCTTGTCTTCTTGATTTGGGGAGGTATAATACGATACCAAATATCTTTCCTTCTGGAGAACTCTAAAAATAAGTGAGGAACTGGCTTCCTTAGCATAGCAGATGAGGAAAGTCTTGTATTTTGGACAAAGTCACAGCATTGACACTCAAGTTTCTGACTAGGAGAGTCTAGAGGTTTGGCTTTCACCATTGTGGTATAGTGCTGTGTGAGCTTTACTGTGTGGTTAGTATTTGAGTTTGGTTTTACCTGCACTGAGGTGTTGATTTGTTGGCTGACCAAGGAAATAATATCTGTTTTGATTGACAGACACACAAATGGGGGGGGGGGGAGACTGAGCTACACACCCTTCATAGTTAAGGAAGAACAAGAAAGGAGAAAGGACCTATACTGGGGTGCCACTGCAAGGGATCCTTCTCCTTGCATCAGGACCAATGTTACTGGATGCAAAACAAGAACTCCAGGAGAAATAAGTGTGGCATTACAATGCAGTGTGTTTCTAAAAAGACTTGTTAGAAGTAACTTCTCTTTTTTCTATATTCTAGTTAAGAAAAAGTGACCATGGAGAACAACAAAACCTTGGTGGATTCGAAATCCATTAATAATTTTGAAATGTAAGTGTTTATTTATTTTTATCTGTTGTTGGTTTAAGGCAGGTTCTCTACCTACCCCAGGCTAACCTGCAGCAGGTAATCCAGGCTGGCTTCAAACTTGTGATGGTCCTCTGACGTCTGTTTTCTAAGGGCTAAAATACTTGGCAAGAGTCATCTTGCCTGGTGAAATTGGTATAAGTGCAAGTCTGCATAGTCAAAGAAAGATGGGTTTGTGTAATATCGCCCCCTTTGAGGAATAGGAAAGCACAGGGGGAAAGGGCTTTCAAACCAGAGAAATGGGCTGCTTCCTGCCTCTGATGGCTGTGCATCTCTGATTCCCATCCTGAGGGCAAGGCAGTGTGTGTGTGTGTGTGTGTGTGTGTGTGTGTGTGTGTGTGTGTATGTGTGTGTGTGTGTGTGTGTGTGGACTGTAGTGTACTTGTGGAGCTCAGAGTCCAGCTTTTCCTTGTATCTGCTGCAGAGAACCCTAAACCAGCAGCCAAGCCTCTACCTAGTCTGTCTCTGCCTCCATCTTGCAGCAGGAGGGCTGTGAATACCAAGTGTGCCAGCACCTAGAGCAGCGCTTCTCAACCTTCCTAATGCTGCGACCCTTTAATACAGCTCCTGCTTTACAACTGTAGTTTTGCCACTGTTATAGGCCGTAATGTTAATCTGGCATGCAGGTTATCTGCTGACATTCGATACCTTTATAAAAGGGTCATTTGACCCCCAAAGGGGTTGCAGCCCGCAGGTTGAGAGCAACTGACTTTGAGCTTTTTATGTGGTTTCCCAGGATTGAATTCAGGCCATTAGGATTGCATAAAAAGCGCCATTGCCCACTGAGTTGTCTCCCTGGCCTATAATTCCTAAACACCATGAATTCACTTCTGTCTCACATAAACTTTATACATGTATCCCAAAGCTAATTTTATATGATTTTTTTAGTATGCCTGTGTTTTGAAAGTGACCCATCATATTGGGCTTGGTGTGGATCATGTTGGCATTCAAGTACTCTCCAGTTTTGGAGCATTTTCTGATTCTAGGTCTTGGAATAGGAATGCACAGCTTGTACCTGTGTGACCTCATTTTCTCTGTAAAATGTGGGGCCTTAGATATAATGGCTCTTTTTTGTCTGACCTTGACCCCTTCATTTACTGCTTTTAATCTCTCTCCGCCATTATTTTTAGAATTGTGTAAAACAGAAGATACTCTTATGTGTCCATAACAGTGTTGATATTTGGCTGTTTCTAGACATTGTTTCTAGAGTCCTGTAGGTCATGGGTCAGGCTTGTTTGTGTGCAGTTTCTGTCACATTTATTGGAATATAGTCACCCATTTATGAGCATATTGCCCTGAGCAAGTTTCACCCAGCCAAATTGAGCCTCTGCTCGAGGACAGCCTATGAGCCTAACTGCTTGATATCAAAGACTTGTGATGGTTCGTCATGTATTAAGTTATTCATTGGTTCAGCTCATGGAATGTAAGGACTCTATGAGTCCTTACACTTAGTGGGGGTTTTAGATAAGAGGCCCACCCAAGGCCAGCCTAGGATAGCAAGACTACCTCTTGTTTGTTTGTTTGGTTGGTTTTTTTGGTGTTGGTTGGTTTTTTGCCTTAGTGCTGTGAAATTTGAATGAAGGAAGGATGTAACATAAAGTTGGGTGTTTGATGGCCTTAAACAAATGTTGACTGTTCATATGAGTCATAAAAGTTATGTTAATAGAATTGTCATTTCTGTCTTTATAACTATTGCTTGATTTCCATGCAGAAAGACCATACATGGAAGCAAATCAATGGACTCTGGAATATACCTGGACAGTAGCTACAAAATGGATTATCCTGAAATGGGTGTATGTTTAATAATTAATAATAAGAACTTCCATAAAAGCACTGGTATGTATCTAACATGATTTTTAAATATGAAAAGCAATATCTGTGTTATGAGTCAGTAAGCTGATACAGAAAACCCACAAAGTAGACACACACTAGAACCTTAGAGGTCCCATATACACTGTGACCTCTTCTTCCATGTTGAAAACATCTGTCTCTTGACACTGTAAAAGCCTGGATTCTGCTGCTGCCCAACAGAGCCAGCACCTTAAGGCTGAGTGATGGGAGAGGGAAAGGTTTCATAAGCAGCAAGGTGGCAGGAATGAAGATGAATGACTGGCACCTGAGGTCCTCTGCCCTGGGGCAGCTGAGAAAGTGTCTCGAGGGTCCTCTGCAGAAGCCCTTAACTCAAAGCCTCAGGCAAGTGGGCCCTAAGGTCACTCCTTGGCCAGCTCTTAAATACAAATTAGGGCCTCTTATCTCAGGGTGAGGTTACTAGGTTATGCCTATCCTGTGCCACATTCCCCATTTGCAGGGCTGTGGGGCTCTAGGCACATTCTGCTGTGTTTACAGCTCCTGCTTAATTAAGGCCCTCACGCCAACCTGTGCACAGCGAAAGCAATGGTGTTTAAACTACCTCTACAGATAGTCATTAAGATATGACTCATTAAGATATGACTCATTAAGGTATGGCTTGTGCTGTAGATCTACCACATGCCTGTGGAGGGCTGTCCATCCAAGAATATATGGGCAGCAGAAAGTGGACTTGATAGGTTTTTGTTGTTGTTTTGTTTTATTGTTTTGGTTTTTAGGTATTGCTGTTTTGTTATTTGGGATAGGGTTTCTGTATGTAGCCCTGGCTGTCCTGAAACTTACTCTGTAGACCAGGCTGTCCTTGAATGCAAGAGATCCTCCTGCCTCTGTCTCCCAAGTACTGGGACCAACAGTGTGCACCGCCACCTCCCCACCTTTCTTCTGTCTTTTACATCCATGCTAAGTGCAGAGCATCCCAAGAGCTCATTTATATTCTACATTCCTCATGTGTACAGATGAAGCTAGTAAGAAGCATCTTGTGATGATTGGAAAGGCTGAATGTTACCCATGAAGCAGAATATCTGATAAACAGGCCTAATCTGATAATATTTGTGGATTTTTTTCTGAAAGGATATACAAGCAGTACTGTGCCTTACAACTGATTCAACATAGAACAAATAGTGTCTATGAGTGAACTATATAAACAAAATTAAGATCACACATTTTTTTTTCTATCTTTCTAAAATTATTTACTAGATATTATGTTGCATGGGAAAAAATCAGCAAGTTTTTAAAAGTCAATGACTTATTTCCCCATGTCCTTAGAAAACATTCGACATGAACTGGGCATAGTGCCCAGTGCCTATAATCTCAGCACTTGGGAGGATTATTCTGACAAGGCTAGGTTGAGCTACATTGTAAGACTTTGTCTATGAGTGAATGAAGGATGAATAAATGAATGGGATGGCAACTTTGTGCCCCACCACATAACGGACCACAGTTTATCAAACAAACCTCTATTGGCAGGCCTCTGAAGGCCCCTTATTTTCACTGGTGATGCTGCTGTGGAGGGGAGCCCGGCCCCGACAGCTTACAGCAGCTAACACAGTCAAGTGTGTCCTGTGCTAACAGAGTACGATCTAAATAAGCAGGGTTTTTCTTAACATTTACAAGGAAGAGTTCGTTGGTTGTGTGAATTGCTGCATGGCTCATTTGATCTCAAAGCATTCGTTCTTTTAAAGTGCACTTAAGAGTTTTTTCTGTCCCAAGGAATGACACCTCGGTCTGGAACCGATGTCGACGCAGCCAACCTCAGGGAGACGTTCATGGGCCTGAAATATGAAGTCAGGAATAAAAACGATCTTACTCGGGAAGAAATTGTGGAATTGATGGATAAAAGTAAGAAATAACTAATTAAAAGAACGGCCTTCGGGAGCTTCTGGGTACAGTGGACAGCAACTCCCAACTGGTCAAAGGACTGAGATTAGTGTCTGCAGAGCTCCACCATGGCTCACACACCTATACCCCAACCCCTCCACACACCTGAGGCTTAGATCAGAGAAGATGGAGCAGAAAGAGTTAGAGCCAGAGGTTGGGGAGGGCCACGACAAAAACGCTGCACTCAAGAACTCACAGCGGTCAGCATTCTTACATGTAAGGGACAAGGGTTCATGAGCCCCTACCTCTAGCTTAGGGAGCTATTGACGGTTGATGGCTGCTGGAGGAGGGAGAAGAATGAGAGTCCATTTTATTTAAGGGTGTGGTCCCTGGTAGGTTGACCATGCCCCTGTGAATAGCCCCATAGAGCTAAGAAAGAACAATTAATCATGCCACCCCCTAAAGCGTTTCCAAATATGCTGTGCCTATGTTAGATTTGGATAAGCTTGTAATTCTATTCTCAGTTTCTTCATCTTGTCAAATAACTGTAAACATGCTGTAAAACACTGACTCCAGAACTCAGGAAGCTAAGGCAGAAAGATCATGAATTCAAAGCCATCTTGGTCCAATTAGAAAACTGGAAATAAATCAGACAACCACAAGCTCTTTACCATAGTCTCTTCCAGGGTGCTAATGTTTTACATAAAGCTACAAAGTGCTTTTCTGGTTTTGTGTTGTTTTACATTATCTCTAAACATCTTTCCAGTTTCTAAAGAAGATCATAGCAAACGGAGCAGTTTTATTTGTGTGATTCTAAGCCATGGTGATGAAGGAGTAATTTATGGAACAAATGGGCCTGTTGACCTGAAAAAATTAACTAGTTACTTCAGAGGGGACTACTGCCGGAGTCTAACCGGAAAGCCGAAACTCTTCATCATTCAGGTAGCGCATTACTGAGCAGCTTGGTGTTCAGCGAAGAAGAGATGAACTTACTCTTTTAACAGTATTTACTTTTTGTTCTGGGACTACAGAATGGTTATATTTTTTAAGGTGCCATTTAGAAAATATGGAGTATTATTTCAATATCCCTCTTTAATGTCAGAAAGTTTTTACACAACCCTTATACTTATTTAAAAAAAGTAAATTATGTGTGTCCACATATATTTTTTAAAAGAAAAGCTTGTTTTCTTGCATGCAGGCCTGCCGGGGTACAGAGCTGGATTGTGGCATTGAGACAGACAGTGGTACTGATGATGATATGGCATGCCAGAAGATACCAGTGGAAGCCGACTTCCTGTACGCTTACTCCACAGCACCCGGTAAGGAACGTCAAAGGAATGTTATGTGTGGGTTTTTGAGGAATTAAATTGTGACTAATTATAGAGCTGAACAGTAAAATCTATGTTCTAAAGGCTATTAAGATTTTTATATACTCCAGACAAAGACTTTTACATCTCTGAAACATCTTATCTTAGTTACTTTTTTAATACCGTGACAGAACACCATGACCAAGGCAACTTAGAAAAGAAAATGTTTGATTTGTAGCCTGTGGTTGCAGAGGGTGAAAGACTGTGACCATCCCGGCAGGAAAGCAGGGGTGGGGGTCAGGGGCCACGGCAGTAAGCAGGTAGGCTTACATCTCCAGCTACAAGCACAGCACAGGGCAGAGAGAGCTAACTGGGAGTGGAGTGGGCTTCTGAAACCCCAAAGCCCACCTGAGACACGTCCTCCATCAAGGCCATACCGCCTAATCCTTCCCAAAGAGTGCTACCAACTGGGGACCAAGTGTTCAAACCTATGAGCCCGTGGGGGCCACTCGAATACAAACCACCATACACACACAGAGTACACACACATTAAGTCTGCAGGTGTGGACCCGTATGTATATATGTGCGTGTCATTGTAGGAGAAAACCCACTCAAATAAATATGTTGAAATAAATAAATAAAACCTTGTTTATTTTTATCTACTATTGTCTTTCCAAACAGTGTGCTTCTAAGCTAAACAATGAGTCCCACAGTTAATCTGAAACTAAATACAAAAAAACTACAGTATTTTTTCCTTCTTTGGCTTTTTAAATCCTGTTTATTATATTCATCCAGATACCTTATAGGCAAACTGGTGGCATTTCTTTAAAGTGTGCATATGTCTAGGAGGCTGAGGTATACAGCTTAAGTAGTTAAGAACGTGTCTTACCCACACAGAGAACCTGGGTTCAGGTCCACATATCCACATGGGAATTCATGACCGCCTTTAAGTCTGGTTCCAGGGGACCTGGCTCCATCTTCTGATCTCCATGGCATCAGACACTCTGTGCTGCACTTACATACATTCAGGCAAAGAACTCAGACACGTAAAATGTATCAGTCTAAAGAAACAGTTTAAAAGTGAGTGCATATGAGTAAATAACTTCTTTCCTGTCTCAGCCTGTATTAAACTCAGATTAGTTCTGATTGAAACACCATGGTCCCATTTGATATCTTTACTTCTGTATCTTCATGTCTTCCTCACCTTCACCTGTTCTTTCGTTATGGGAGAGAGAACAGACAGTAAAACTCAGGAAGTCCACGGCAGTTAGTCCATAAGTGCACCCCCTTTTTCTGCTGCAAACAGTGAAGTATCTATAGTTCATATTTTTCTTCTCAAAACCATTTCTCTGGAGACCAAAGGTATTATTTTTTCCTTTTTTGTTTGTTTGGTTTTTTTTTTTTTGTATTTGGTTTTTCAAAGACAGAGAGTTTCTCTGTGTGTAGGTTTGGCTGTCCTGGAACTCATTCTGTAGACTAGGCTGGCCTGAAACTCAGGGGTCTGCCTGCCTCTGCCCCCCAAGTGCTGGAATTAAAGGCGTGTGACGCCACTGCTGTCTTTTTCCTTTGTATGGCTTATAAAACTGTGGAAGCTTATGTTTATTTTTATTGTTGTAGTTATGTAGCACTGTATAGAATCTGCTGAAACGATGATATGGCATGCTCTGTATATTGCCTCACAGGTTACTATTCCTGGAGAAACTCCAAGGACGGGTCCTGGTTCATCCAGTCTCTTTGTGCCATGCTGAAACTGTACGCACACAAGCTCGAGTTCATGCACATTCTTACTCGCGTTAACCGGAAGGTAGCAACGGAGTTTGAGTCCTTCTCCCTTGACTCCACTTTTCATGCGAAGAAACAGATTCCGTGTATTGTGTCTATGCTCACAAAAGAACTATACTTCTATCACTAAAGAGATGATTGGGGGGTGGGCACTGTTTCTGCTCTTTTTTGTTGTTGTTGTTGTTTTACTGCCAAATGAGGAAACGGTGTCAGGGAGACTTTATTTCTCATCTGAATCAAATCTGATGTTCCACAGGGTACTTTGCACCATGCCACTGCCCTAGCAATAGAGCCGCAATGCAGCTACCTCAAGATCAACATCAAGTAGTTGAAATACATTTAATTAGGAACAGAAAAATGTCAATAATGGTACTATCATTGTGGAGGAAATTACAAATTTACCATTTTTATAGTTAGCAGGATATGGTGAGCATATGAATTTTGAAGTAATCATGAGGAGGTCAAACTTTGCAGTGACGATTTTATACTCCCTACACATATTAAGAAAGTCATTCTAGTTTTCCTTGAACTGTAGAAATGATATTGTCAAATGAAATGTCCTAGAGCTTGAATCCGTGAGCAGAGTCAAAGGCTTGAACCCTGATTTTGGAAGTGAAGCGTGGGGCCACCGTAGCATACATTGTAGCTACTGGTTTTGTGACATTCATCCTGAGCATGTATTTGTTATTTAAAAAAAATCATGTTTTATTATTGAAAAAAAATACATGAGTATTTATGTGAGAGAAGAAACAAGAGCAAACTCAGTTGACTCTTTGAAGGCTACCATGCATCAGTGGCGGACAGATGGCAAGGTGCTAAGGTCTACCAGCATGTGTCTTTCCTGTTCTTACACAAATCAACCTAGTTTTACAGACCAGCAAAATATCTAAAGAGCAGCTACCTAACAGCCTCAAATTGTTGATTATTAGAATGCAATAAAGAAATCCCACAAGAACATACTGAAATACCAGTTGTAAAATAGAATGTAAGAAAAGGAGAAATGAATCTACAGTAATTGAAGGGATGTTTAAGCCTGAGCAGAGACATGCAGAGCCATGGGCACACCTTCAGAAAAGAACGGCCAGTTGGACCCAGCTCGTGAGTACCGGTTTCTGTAGATGATGTCTCCAAAGTCCAAGTCACCGCATGAGAAAGTGAACCAGATCAGAAACCTTTAAGGAAGGGCTTTCCCACATGGGTGAGAGTTCACAGGGCTCCTTGCACAGATGTATGCATGCTGACTTTTCTGTTGAAGTTTATGATAAAAGCAAAGCAATGGCACTATCTGTATTTTCACCAGAAGTTAGAGGACCATGGTACACAGGACTTGGAAAGCATCCAGTCCTGGGCTTTGCAGCCCCCATGGGGAAGATGAGGTTCATCCTCATCAGGGAGGCTGTGCTCCGGGCTTCCTGGTTCATGGAGGTGCTGAGTCATTGCTGGCTATCCTGATGTGTCCGGTGCTTTGCCCTAAGAAAGGAAGGAACTCACATTTATAATCGATAGATTCTTGTCTAGACTGGATCTATTAACTCTTTCTAAGTAAATGTAGCATGTGGTGGTATTTTAAAGTGTGTTCCCATGTGACAATTTTATAAAAGTTTGTTATCTTGCATTTTTTATTTCAAAACATAAATTCAGATTTAAAATTATCAGTGAATTTGAGTTTTTTGTTGTTGATACTTTTGATGCTGTGATAACTAAGTGAAAGTTAAAATAGTTTCAGTCCAGAGCTTAGTTCGGGAGCATCAAAGACGATGGAGGCAGCAGGGCCCTCATCTAGTATTTTTGAGGTGTTGGTGAGTGACAGGATCTCAGAGAGGATGGCTATGGCTTAAACCCAGGAAAAAAAAATGAAGGAAGGCTTTGGGGGAAGTGGGGAGAGGGTCTTCTCTTTCAGTGTTTTACATAATAATCATATCTGCTATAAAATCAAGAAGACTGGATCAAGGAACTCCTATTTCCAAGAAGCAGAGTACTGTGAATGTTTTTGTTCAGTCTTCTTTAAGCCTGGGGAATGGAGAGATGGCTTAGTGGTTAAAAGCCCTGGCTGTTGTTCCAGAGGACCTGGGTTTGAATCCCACATGGCAGCTAGCAATTTTCTATAACTAGCTCCAGGGGATCCTTAGGTTTTTTTTATGCACGTGGTACGTAGGCATACACACAGGCTAAACACCCACACACATAAAATAAAGACAAACCTTTAAAACATCTGTAGCTCTCTAGTTTCGGGGCTATGTGGGGCAGTCTCAGATGTTAGAAAGAAAAGATGGGAGCTATGGGGGTGGGAGCAGCTGACTGGATAAAGGGATTCCCTGGCAAGGACAAGGACCTGAGTTTGGTCCCCAGCATCCACGTTGAAAACCGAGTATGGTGATGCACACTTGTAATTCCAGCACTGATGGAGAGGAGTGAGATCTTGAGGCTCCCCAGCCAGCCAGCCTAGCCCACACATGGCAAGCTCCAGGCCAGTGTGCTCAGCTGCTGGGGAATGATGCCCGACGCTAACCATTGGCCTACACATACATCATAATTTCCATCATAATAAGAGGAATGTAAAATAGCATCACCTACCACACCGACAGGTATTACCCCAGTGCTGGAGTTGTGGGCATGCATCACCATGCCTAGCATGTGTTGTCGGTTTTTAAGGTGTGTTGCATGAATATTCATGAGATGGATGACATTCATGGGTGTAAAGTAACCATTTTTTCCCCTCCCAAACCATGGTGAACTGAATTTCTTGTCCTAGATAATTCTTCCCATGATCCTCTTCTAAAAGAGAGACAAACTTAGAAAGAAATATTATAAAGAAATTGGGGTTTCTTGAGGATGTAGACCTTTGGTCTTAATGTGTATGTGTGGCAATCAGGTTAGGTTTCCTGGTACTTAGTTTCTGTTATGTGGGGAAGAACCCAACTGTACCTTAAAAGATGGGGTAAACCACTAAGTTTCATTCTGAACACCTACAGACACAGCTACCAAGAAACGTGCAGTGTTCTAAGGTTGCCTCAGCGATCCTCCGTAGGAGTTGTGGAACAATATGTCTTGAGTATGAGAGGCTGTGGTCAGGAATGGCTCCTCTGAGGCAGAGGTGAAGCTGATCTTAAGGTGAAGAAACTTGAGAGAGCTGACTTTGAAAAAGAAGGCACATAACTAAGAGGAAGGTAGATAGGGTATAGATAATAGCCTTCCTCCCCCAGGGTCTGTAATTTGCTAGAAGACCTCACAAAACTCAGGAACACGCGCTAGTTAATGTTAGTTATATGGAAACACGGTTAGTTATGTGGAAACACAGCAAGGTCTGGTGGTGGGAAGGGGCACAGATTGTCCTTGTTTTCTTGGGGTGCCCCATCCCCTGATCTCTTCAACAACTTGGAAACTGAATCTCAGGAGGACTTCTAGGTCCCAGAAACTCTGCTTTCCCCAGGGCTTACAGGTAGGGTGGACCGTCCAAGCTGCCCGCTCTGAGATTATCTATGGCTCTGCATATCCATTAGCATAATCCTATGTGTGGGCTAAAGATACTTGCCATTAATATCAAAAGTCACTCCTATCCTTCTAGAGAGTCTAAGCATCTTAGGACCTCTGAATGCAGGAACTGGGGAAAAACCATATGATTCTCACACTGGACTTGAGGGAACTTCTTGTGGTTAAAGATTGACTTGGGAAGAAGAGAACTGAAGAAAATGGAGCATGGAGCGGCTCAGGACACTTAGGCTGCCTTCCGATAGGAAAGAGCAGGTGTTTTATTGGGTTCTTGGTGGGATCATCAGTTCATAATGACGATGGCATTTTCCTCTTCTGACTTCAGGGAATGTATATGGAGACATCCTAGCTTTACCTTGTACCTAGTGGGGGTCTTGTGATAAAATAAAGAGAGACTGAGAAAGGCATGTTCCATACTTTGTATAAAAAGGAGAGACGCTGGGTTAAAACCTATGGGTTAAGAATGTGAAAGCTGGGCACGCCTTTAATCCCAGTCCTTGGGAGGCAGAGGCAAGCAGATCTCTGTGAGTTCCAGGCCAGCCTGGTCTACAAAGCAAGTTCTAGGACAGCCAGGGCTGTACACAGAGAAACCTTGTCTCAAAACAAACAACAAAGAATGTGAAAGCCAGCTGAGATTGATAGCACATGTAATGCCAGCAGAGGCAGGCAGATCTCTGAGTTTGAGGCCAGCCTGGACTACAAAGCAAGTTCTAGGACAGCAGAGGCAGGCAGCTCTCTGTGAACTCAAGGCCAGCCTGGTCTACAAAGTGAGGCCAGGTCAGCTGGGGCTCTTGTTACACAGAGAAATTCTGTCTCAAAAAAATAAAAATAAGAAAGTGAAAGCCTATGTCTGCTGTTCCCATAAGTTAAATATACTGGGTAGATATATCTATAGCTATTTATATATCAAAGTCTTGAGACTATGAGTTAGGCTGTGTATACGGCCTAACTTATTTTTGGTAAATGAAAACCAGCTAGAGCAGAGATGGCAGACAGAGGCAAGAGGAACCCATGTGAGAGTCAGTAAAATTAACACAGACTTGGAAATTTGAACGATGGTGGCAAGGGTGACGGCAAGACGTAAACAAGCCCTAACATTCTAGAAAACTCCTGCCTCCTGCTATCATGCAGTCTCTCAGTGGGTTCCCTGTATCTCTGTGTCCTACTCGCATTTGTAGCGGTCCATTTCCTCCAAGACGTTTGCACGAAGGACTTTGAAAGTGATTGATTTGACTCCAAATACGAAATGCATTTTTGTTTCTGAATTTTTACCAAAACCTTGTATCACCCAGCGATTCTCAACCTGTGGACCACAAACCCTTTGGGGTCAAACAGCTCTAAGACCATCTGCATATCAGATATTTACATTACAATTCATTCATAACAACAGCAAAACTACAGTTATGGAGTAGCAATAACGATAATTTCATGACAGGAGAGGGTCACCACAGAACAAGGAACTGTGTTAATGGGTCACGGCGTTAGGAAGGCTGAGGACCACTGATACAGCCCAAAGCGCCATGTTGATGGTGCTATGGCCAATGCTGCCATATCTCTACCCTGAACGTTTCTTTTAGAGCCGTTGTAAACTATTAGGTTGGTTGCTCTTCCCACGGCTGCGACAGAATGTCTGACAGAAGCAGCTTGAGGAAAGAGGGGTTGATTTTTGGCTCATGATTTCAAAGGACAGAACCCACGACGGCAGCTGAAATACGTGTCTAGGATTCCTCACAGCCGAAGACTAGAACAGGCAGAGGGCTATGCCACCCCCTTTTACTCAGTCCCCGCCCCAGGTTATGGGATGATGCCACTCAAGTTCAAGGTAGGGTTCTCCTCAGTCAGTCCTTTCTGGGGGTGCCTCCCCAGCACATTCAAAGGTATTTCACCCACATGATTCTAAAGCTAGCCAAGTTGACAGTGACAATTAACCCCGCCCTGAGGCAAATCCGAAGGAGAGGACTGAGAACAAGGTTTGCAAAGCGGTCTGCGGTTAGAGTCTATCATCTTTGAGGATGTGTTGCCTTGGTGCTAGTGTGATGACGGCGAACACAGTGGGGACGGTAAAATGGCGCCGCATTTCTGCACCATCTTGCCCTGCCTTCCTCACTTCCCACTTGCCCCTCACCTCCATGGCTCCCATCTCCTGCTATTAGCTTGAGACCATGGAATGGAAAGTTATTTAAATTTTCCTGATGTGTGCACATCACAAATCTTTTCATGTACAGATACATTCCATTTTCTAACTTTACTTTCTGCCACTTTATCAATGTTAATCAACTTTGGTATATACCTGAAAAAATTGTTTTCCAATACCATTTCTTTTTTTTTTTTTCCCCAATATCATGTCTTTATACATAAGAAATTTAATAATGAAGCTAGGATTAGTGGGCAAACTTCTAATAAAGACATGAAGGCAGGAAGGAGGATTGGAAGGCCAAGGCCATCTTGGGCTACATAGAGAAACCTTTTAAAAACAAAGAAGAAAGAAACGAGAAAAGATGAAATAATTTAATATGAACTCTCAGGGAATATCTCTGATGTTCACCCATTCAAATATTTTTGTATTTCATTTGAATGTCCAATATAATGTAAAATTATAACCTAGTCTATCACTCTATCCATGTCCTCTTCCCATGCCATCTGGTCTCTTCCCACACCATCAAACACTGAGCAGAATAGAAGAGTTGAAATCGTTGATCCCAGACAGCATTTTGTTTTCTCCAATGAGCTCACAAAAAAAAATAAAAATAAAAAAAGAAAGACTAAACCTGTCGCCATGCCACCCACCTATCTTTCAAAACCCAATACTTGGAAGATGAGAGTTGCTGCGAGGGAGTTTTCTTCAAGGGCAGGGACCCTGGAAGATGGGGCAGACTATTAACCCCAAAGCTCTATCTTGAGAAAGGTGAGGGTGCAAGAGCCTTTACAGTTACAGTAAGGAGCAGAGAGCAGAGGCGGGAAGGTACGTGCTGAATCACTGGAAGGTCTCCACTTCTTTTTCTTCTCTGACTAGAATACAACAATGAAACTCAACGTGGTGGAACTAATAGTTCACCTGCCTTGTGTTACTCTCACTGTACAGAACCAAACTCTGAGAAGAGGCATTTGCATATCCTGATGGCATCTGGAGTTCAATAGATATCCTGGGCTCTCGAAAGCTAAG